TTTTAATGTTATAGAACCAAACGCACCACCAGTTGATGTCAAAGGACACAATACAAGCTCAACCAGCATTTGGGTACATTGGGACACTGTTCCTGTTGCTGATCAAAATGGAATTATACTGAGTTACACGGTGACGTGCACGGCGTTGCCTGGCGGCATTCCAATAACGGCTGTAGTGCGTGCTCCAACCACCCACGTCACACTGAGGGGTTTGGAGGAACACACAAACTATAGCATCTTGGTTTTTGCATCTACTGTGAAGGGAGACGGAAATGCCAGCGATCCAATCATTGTCACCACAGACGAGGACAGTAAGTTGCAAAAGGCCTTAGGACACTTTACAATAAAAAAATGGAAGGTGTCCACTTGTTAGTTACGAAAAAGTCACAGTAGCTAAACGACAAAACGAAAAGTATAAAAGTTAGGAATTTGTTTGAGACAGTGGGGTGTATCGCTCTTTAGAAATAATATCAATCTAACCATTCCGCGCTAAACGGAGTTGGCTAGAGAGTAAAGTGTTCGAATCTTTTGAATTATAATGTTGAATTTTGTTCTTATAGAACCAAACGCACCACCAGTTAATGTCCAAGGACACAACACAAGCTCAACAAGCATTTGGGTAGACTGGGACACTGTTCCTGTGACTGATCAAAATGGAATTATACTGAGTTATACGGTGACGTACGCGGCGTTGCCTGGTGGCATTCCTCGGACGGCTGTTGTGAGTGCTCCAATCAGCCACGTCACATTGAGGGGTTTGGAGGAATACACAAACTATAGCATCTTGGTTTTTGCATCTACTGTGAAGGGAGACGGAAATGCGAGCGATCCAATCATTGTCACTACAGACGAGGACAGTAAGTTGCAAAAGGCCTTACGATAGTTAACAATAAAAAAGAGGAGGGTGTTTTCTTATTACTTATAAAAAGGAGCGGAAGTAGCTAAACGTTAAAAGAAAAATAATACCGGATAAAGTTTCGTAAAAGGTTTAAAGGTCGAAAGGACTGTTTATCGTGCAAAGTGTTCTTAGCTTATGCAGGTAGTTTACAGGCACTCCACTCAGATTCTTAGAAACAGATAGTTTAAATACAACATAACAGGATTAAAAACCCAAACGGGGAGAAAGCAACCAGTTGGCTATTTACAAGCGAGGCGAAGGATTTTGAACTGGAGACGACCGAGAACAAATCCAGCAAGTCCATAGAGCGGGGCTCGAACCCTGGACCGCCAGATTGCGAGTCCGACGCGCTATTATGGCTCTTTGCGCTGCCTAATCGGTGACAATGCGTCCATGGAATTTTTCACGATTGCTCTTTTGAGAGAGAGTGGAGCTAAACGCTCAGAAGAAACAATATAATTTTAACACTAACTTTTTGGTCAAAGCAAATTTGACGGGAAAGTTGGGTGTGCGAATCTTTTGAAGTATAAAAAAAAATTGTTGTTATAGAACCAAAAGCACCACCAGTTAATGTCCAAGGACACAACACAAGCTCAACCAGTATTTTGGTATATTGGGACACTGTTCCTGTTCTTGATCAAAATGGAATTATGCTGAGTTATACGGTGACGTACACGGCGTTGCCTAGTGGCATTCCACGGACGGCTGTAATGCGTGCTCCAATCACCCACGTCACATTGAGGGGTTTGGAGGAGTACACAAACTATAGCATCTTTGTTTTTGCATCTACTGTGAAGGGAGACGGAAATGCGAGCGATCCAATCATTGTCACCACAGACGAGGACAGTAAGTTTCCAAAGGCCTTTTTGGGAAAGACCTTTTTTAGTGGCCATAAGTTTATTAAGTTTGGGGACTGGGATGGAACAGTTTGTGTAAACAAGAGCTACAATGGCTCTTGGTGTGATTTTTTTAAAGTCTTTTTGTCGTCAGTCACATAAGCAGAATTTCAATATGTTTTTCAACTATGGAAAAACTCGACTGGCTTCGGTTAGGTGAACTGGCCAACGTTCGCCAAGACAAACGTAAGCTACATCTCTTGGATTCCCCACCCTCACCCCTGCAGAATCTATTTAGTAGCTCCCTGCCAAACCGTACTAGAGGTTAGCGTACGCTGAGGTCATGACCAAAATTTCTCGCGTGGATAGCTTTCCGATTTTCTCCTAGCTATGGGGCTCCAGTGTAAGTGCTTCGCGAGCGGTGAGGGTGCCCTAAAAATTTAATTTTGATGTTATAGAACCAAACGCACCACCCGTTAAAGTCCAAGGACACAACACAAGCTCAACCAGTATTTGGGTAAACTGGGACACTGTTCCTGTTGCTGATCAAAATGGAATTATACTGAGTTACACGGTGACGTACACGGCGTTGAATGGCGGCATTCCACGGACGGCTGTAGTCGGCGCTCCAACCACCCACGTCACACTGAGGAGTTTGGAGGAATACACAAATTATAGCATTTTTGTGTTTGCATCTACTATGAAGGGAGATGGAAATGCGAGCGCTCCAATCATTGTCACTACAGACCAGGACAGTAAGTTGTTAAAGAACTTACGATGCTTGGCAATAAAAAAAAGAGAAAGGAGATTTCTTATTAGTTATAAAAAAGGTCCGCAAGTAGCTAAACGTAAAAACAAATATTATACAAGATAGATTTTGTACATTTCCTTTATTTTCTTTCCTGGGAGAGTGGGGTGTATCTCTCGTTACGAACACTATAACTTGAACACTACCTATTTAGTGCAAAACAAATTTGACTGTAGAGTTGGGTGAGTGAATCTTGTGAAGTGCAAAAATTACTGTTATCTTTACAGAACCAAACGCACCTCCAGTTAATGTCCAAGGACATAACACAAGCTCCACTAGCATATGGGTAGATTGGGAGACTGTTCCAGTTGCTGATAAAAATGGAATTATACTGAGTTACACGGTGACGTACACGGCGTTGCCTGGTGGTATTCCACGGACGGCTGTAGTGAGTGCCTCAACAACACATATAGCATTGAAGGGTTTGGAAGAATACACAAACTATCGCATCTTGGTTTTTGCATCTACTGTGAAGGGAGATGGTAATGCGAGCGATCCAATCATTGTAACCACAGACGAGGACAGTAAGTTGCCAAATGGCTTACAATAGTTAACAGTAAAAAAGAGGAAGGTGTCCTGTTATTAGCTATAAAAAGGCCCATCTGAAATGGTTAAACGTTAAAACAAGAATTATACCAGAGAAAGTTTCGCAATTTTTGAGTTATTGCTTTTCTTGGAGAAAGTGGAGTTGAAAACACTCTTTAGGAAAAGTACACCTTTGACACCAAATAATTTGTGGAAAACAAACAGGACTGGAGAGTTGCGTGTGTGAATCTTTTTAAGTGTGGAAATTACTTTTTTTTGTGATAGAACCAAATGCACCACCAGTTAATGTCCAAGGACATAACAAAAGCTCAACCAGTATATGGGTAGACTGGGACACTGTTCCTGAGGCTGATCAAAATGGCATTATACTGACTTACACGGTGACATACACCGCGTTGCCTGGTGGCATTCCACGGACGGCTGTAGTGAGTGCTCCAATCGCCTACGTTACATTGAGAGGTTTGGAGGAGTACAGAAACTATAGCATCTTTGTTTTTGCATCTACTGTGAAGGGAGACGGAAATGCGAGCGATCCAATCATTGTCACCACAGACGAGGACAGTAAGTTTGCAAAGGCCTTTTTGGGAAAGACCTTTTTTAGTGGCCATAAGTTTGTTAAGTTTGGGGACCGGGATGGGACAGTTTGTGTAAACAAGAGCCACAATGGCTCTTGGTGTGATTTTTTTAAAGTCTTTTTGTCGTCAGTCACATAAACAGAATTTCAATATGTTTTTCAACTATGGAAAAACTCGACTGGCTTCTGTTAGGTGAACTGGCCAACGTTCGCCAAGACAAACGTAAGCTACATCTCTTGGATTCCCCACCCCAACCCCTGCAGAATCTACTTAGTAGCTCCCTGCCAAACCGTACTAGAGGTTAGCGTACGCTGAGGTCATGACCAAAATTTCTCGCGTGGATAGCTTTCCGATTTTCTCCTAGCTATGGGGCTCCAGTGTAAGTGCTTCGCGAGCGGTGAGGGTGCCCTAAAAATTTACTTTTGATGTTATAGAACCAAACGCACCACCCGTTAAAGTCCAAGGACACAACACAAGCTCAACCAGTATTTGGGTAAACTGGGACACTGTTCCTGTTGCTGATCAAAATGGAATTATACTGAGTTACACGGTGACGTACACGGCGTTGACTGGCGGCATTCCACGGACGGCTGTAGTCGGCGCTCCAACCACCCACGTCACACTGAGGAGTTTGGAGGAATACACAAATTATAGCATTTTTGTGTTTGCATCTACTATGAAGGGAGATGGAAATGCGAGCGCTCCAATCATTGTCACTACAGACCAGGACAGTAAGTTGTTAAAGAACTTACGATGCTTGGCAATAAAAAAATAGAAAGGAGATTTCTTATTAGTTATAAAAAAAGGTCCGCAAGTAGCTAAACGTAAAAACAAATATTATACAAGATAGATTTTGTACATTTCCTTTATTTTCTTTCCTGAGAGAGTGGGGTGTATCTCTCGTTACGAACACTATAACTTGAACACTACCTATTTAGTGCAAAACAAATTTGACTGTAGAGTTGGGTAAGTGAATCTTGTGAAGTGCAAAAATTACTGTTATCTTTACAGAACCAAACGCACCTTTAGTTAATGTCCAAGGACATAACACAAGCTCCACTAGTATATGGGTAGATTGAGAGACTGATTGACAGTAGAGTTGCGTGTGTGAATCTTTTTAAGTGTAGAAATTACTTTTTTTTGTGATAGAACCAAATGCTTCACCAGTTAATGTCCAAGGACATAACAAAAGCTCGACCAGTATATGGGTAGACTGGGACACTGTTCCTGAGGCTGATCAAAATGGCATTATACTGACTTACACGGTGACATACACGGCGTTGCCTGGTGGCATTCCACGGACGGCTGTAGTGAGTGCTCCAATCACCAACGTCACATTGAGGGGTTTGGAGAAATACACAAATTATAGCATCTTGGTTTTTGCATCTACTGTGAAGGGAGACGGAAATGCGAGCGATCCAATCATTGTCACCACAGACGAGGACAGTGAGTTGCCATAGGTTTTACAATAGTTAACAATAACAAAGTGGAAGGTGTCATGTTATTAGTTATTAAAAGGACAATAAGGAACTAAGCCTTGAAACAAAAACTATACTAGATATAGTTTCGTAATTTTTTTATTATTACTTTTTTGGAGAGATTGCAGTTAATCGCTCTTTAGGAACAATATAACTTTCATTGTCATCTAGTGCCATCTACAAGTAGTAGGTCGGCCATCATGGATCTCCA